TTTTAGTAGAGACGGGGTTTCACCATGTTGACCAGGATGGTCTCGATCTCTTGACCTCGTGATCCACCTGCCTCGGCCTCCCAAAGTGCTGGGATTACAGGCTTGAGCCACCGCGCCCGGCCCAAAAAATTTTTTAAAGTTAGCCAGGAGTGGTGGCATGAGCCAGTGGTCGCAGCTACTCAGGAAGCTGAAGGGGGAGGATCGCTTGAGCCCAGGAGTTTGAGGCTGCAGTGAGCTATGAACGTGCCACTGTACTCTAGCCTGCCAAATAGAGCATGACTTCTCTGTCTCTTAAAAACAAAGTAGAACTTAATTTTTTACTCAGGTCTCTGCTAGTGAGCCCGTATTTGTTTCTTGGTAAGATAAATGCTCCGTATAATGTAAACATGAAAGAAATCAAAGCATTGAAGAGATGAAGGGAAATAATAGGTATTTGGAAATACTGGGAAATGAGGCAGGCCAAAGGCTACATAGTCTAAAAGTGTAAGACATAAAATGGCAGGGATAGAAGAAAAATTAATTACAAGGAGAGTAAAGAGACTGAGTTTCTTTGCTCAAACGAAGTAGAAGTATCAGTCGCCGTGAGAACAGAAGTAGAAAACTGACAGCCAAGGAAGAGTGAAGAGGTGCTACAGTAGCCTTTGTTACAGCTAAACCCCCATGTCTCAGCATGACATGGTAGGTTATTCCTTTTTATCTTAAATTTTAAGAATGGCTTATCTATTTGGATGCCTTTCCTCTTGAACAGCCATTCCAGGATCCAGGTGCTCTGCCATCTTCAAGCCTTCCAAAAATGTGAAAGGAACGTGAGAATCACTTGTGGGAGGGGTTTGGCCTGTAAGCAGCACAGATCATTTTATTCACTGTTTATAACACAGTCACATGCCTTGCCTAACTGCAGCGAAGACTGGAAGATAGACTTGCGCTGTGGGCCCAGAAAGAGGAAACAGGTTTTGACCAACACGTAACAGTCTGTATCACAATGGCTCTTGAAAAGGAGTGTAGCTGCCTATTAATAAGTGAGACTAAACAGAGCATATATAAACGGGGAACTAAAATGGAAAGCACTGCTAATTTGAGAAGACTGTAGTTGATATTTTTCTGTGGCAGAAAGTGATCTGGGTCTGTCATCACTTTTTCCTTTAAAGCAGTAGTTCTTAACTGGGACACTTCTCTCTTCTCTGGGAGACATTTGGCATTGCCTGAAGACACTTTTGGTTTTTACAACTTGGTAAACGGTGCCTCTGGTATTTAGTAGGTATAGAAGGCAGTGATGTTTCAGAACACCCTATGTCACACAGGACAAAGAGTGATCTGAGTCAAATGTTGATAGTAAATGGTTGAGAAACCATTCTTTGAAGGAAGAAAGAGAATGTTTTCTAGAAATACATTACCTTCTTAATATTGAATCGAATATAAAATGACATCTAAAGACAATTTTCAACATTTCAGGACAGAGCCCCCACGTAAAGTCAAATCTACTCTCAGGAAGCCTTCAGAGCCTGTGGCGGGCAGTGACCGGCCCTCTCTTTGATTTTCAAGGAGACCCAGCTCAGCAAGGTGGAACCCTCATTTTAGGTCCAGGTAAGCATCAAAGCCAGGTTCAGCAGTAGGCATCTTGTGCCTTTTACAAGTTCAGAGGCCAGCACTTTCTTCATAAAGCAGACACCATGTACAAATGGACATCTCAACATTATAGTCAGGAGTGCTTTTGTAGGAGGGCATGTTTTGTTTTCAAAGGCTTCTGTGTATTTTGATGTTTGTGCATTTGATGAGTGTGCCCATCATCCCATGTCTGGGTGATTTCCCAGAGTCACCCGTGGGTTGGTGATCTGTTTATGGCTGTGACACTCCCCTATTTAAAAATGTTCAGTGGAGATGAACGTTTCCGAATAGGGGAAAATCGTCGCATGCTTTTTTGTCAACAAAAGAATCCATGTAGTTATTTATACCTAACAGAACTAGGAGACTTACTCAGTGTCAGCAAGCAAATCAGTGCTAGGGACAGCTTATCCTATAAGAATGGGATTGAGCTGGGCACAGTGGCTCATGCCTGTAATCCCAGCCCTTTCGGAGGCTGAGGCAGGTGGATCACCTGAGGTTGAGAGTTCGAGACCAGTCTGACCAACATAGAGAAACGCTGTCTCTACTAAAAATACAAAATTAGCCAGGCATGGTAGTGCATGCCTGTAATTCCAGCTACTGAGGCAGGAGAATCACTTGAACCCGGGAGGCAGAGGTTGCAGTGAGCTGAGATTGTGCCATTGCACTCTAGCCTGGGCAACAAGAACAAAACTCAACCTAAAAAAAAAAAAAAAGAAACAAAAACAGAAAAAAAAATGAGACTCAGCCCGGTCATGGTGGCTCACACCTGCAATCCCAGCACTTTTGGAGGCTGAGCCAGGTGGATCACTTGAGGCCAGGAGTTCGATACCAGCCTGGCCAACATGGTGAAACTTGTCTCTACTAAAAACACAAGAAATTAACTGGGTGTGTTGGTGCGTGCTTGTAATCCCAGCTACTTGGGAGGCTAAGGCAGGAGAATCACTTGAACCCAGGAGGTAGAGGTTGCAGTTGGCTGAGATCACACCACTGCACTCCAGCCTATGTGACAAGAAGGAAACTCCGTATTTAAAAAAAAAAAAAAAAGAATGGGATTGAGGTCCGACTATAAGTCATACACTGTTAACAACTTTATTGATGGGTGTGGACCACCTGAGATGGCTTTGGCTGATGTCTGCTAAGTGTTGAGTGTTCGATCTCTACCGTGTTCCAGCATTGCAGCAAAGGGCAAACACCCATATCAGGCAGCCAAAAAGCCTAAATCACTGTGTTACGAGATCATCCTTTTGCTTTTTCTTCCTCTTTAAAACTGTCTTAATGAGCATAGCTTATTAGAGTCATAAAATTAATATTTACTTTCACAAATACCATATTTTTTTAGACTGAGGATTTTGACTGAGTAATAGGACTTTTGGGCCTTTTGCAGCTGGATCATTATAGCCAAAATCTCCCTTTCCCTCCCTCTCATGAATTTACACCAGTTAGGTTAGTTATAAAAAGAGGCCCTGATAAATGAGATTGAGTCCTATGCATTAGCCCAGAATGACATTAGCCGTATTTCTGGATGACTGATTCCCATCCTCAGACCCAAAAGGGGATGTTTTGAGTCCCTTATCTTCATGCCTCTGAATTTGTCCACACCTTCTGTTGTGTAAGAATAAAGAGCACACCTGCCGGGCGCGGTGGCTCAGGCCTGTAATCCCAGCACTTTGGGAGACCGAGGCGGGTGGATCACGAGGTCAAGAGATCGAGACCATCCTGGTC